TGAATTACGTCTTCCAACTTTCGGTACTTCTTCGACCTCCTARGTAAGAGTCTGTTTCCTGGCACTTTTGGGTCCATGCTACATTTTTCTTGTCACTAATCATTCTTCTTACCTTTGATTGTGCGCTATTGTAATTTTGTCTGGCATTCACTGTTTTTCGAGAAAAGTATATGTAATACAGTTTCATCTTTTCCTCTATTTCTCTCTCAATCTCAGCATCCCACCAATATGGTTTCCTTCTCTTCAATTTTTCCTCCACTAAACCTCCTTCTTTTGGAAAGCTAAGGTTTCTTTTGCAGCTTGAAGAATGCTTGATGTTATGCAATCATACTCTTCATTTGGGTTTTTGCCTGAACATGCATTGAGTTTTTCGTTAAGTCGTTTTTATATAGGTTTTTTATGCCGTAGGATGTATCTACAGTGATCAACTTCTTCTATCCCTGTGCTACTCCAGCTCTTGTTGGTGAAGATTTTGGTCTTGATAAGAAGTGGTAATTTTGGCTTGTTTAGTAATAAGATAGACAATTACTGATCTGAGATTTTGGGAGGGTTTCCTGGAGGAAATCCTAGATTGAAGACGCTCGTAAATGAATGTTGGCTAAATTCGTCCACTGATCTAGAAATGAACGGCAAAACAATCACTCGCGGCTCTCGGTAAATAATAATAATCAAAACATAATTCCGTTACTCCTCTAATAAAACTTGGGTAGTTAAACTTTGTCGGCATCCCTTTAGGGTAATCTCATCAAAAAAGTCGTTTTAAATTTGCCGAGAAGATTTTAGTGCCAATCACTCCCCTTTGAGCGTCAACATCATTAGGGAGTTCAAATAAATAAGACTCCCTGCAGACATTTAAATATTATTCAGTTCCTGCATGGGGACTTAAAGTTCCATTGAAGTTCAGTTAAGAGTCATTTGAAGTATTAATGAAGTCACGGTGGTTACGACTTGGGCTTTTAGGGCGTTTTTACAATCTCTCGCTATACCGAGCGTTCTTCGATCACCTACCATGTCATCTGTGGAGGTATATCGATTCAGGTATCCAACGAAGGAAAACGCTGAGCTCACATAAGCTAGAATAAGAGCAGTTGCTGCAGTGAAGAAGCACCAGCCATATCTGTAGTTGAAATCTGGACCATTGGGGCCATCTTTATGGTACTCGTAGATCTCGGCCAGGGTCTCGGAAAGGGCCGAAACGAAAGTGATTAAGCCACAGCCGAGTGATAAACCTGCAAAGGAAAAATCAATTGAAACGAATTATTGGGAATGTTCCGCTTTATGCGGGAAAATAGTTGTCGTTTAACTTGGAACATTCTGGTCGCTTTGCCTTAAAGTTGTTCGGTCGAGTCGCGAAGAAGTTTAATAATTAACAAGAGCATTTCGAGAAATAGTTTACTAATTATTAGTGTCAGAGGGTCGTCGGGAAGTTGTGAAGAATCCTTTGGAAACTCGAATTATCCCCTGCAAGTAATTAATCAGAAGTTGAGGGGTGGGTATTTACAAACAAAAGGTGAAAGCTAGGTCTCGTTAGTCTCAAATAGCCTTATAGCTGGAAAGTTTTCTTTATCTCGCTGTTTGTTTCTTCCCTTTACGAGGAGGCTTATCAACTTCGCCTCGATGAGGAAAAGTTTGTTAAATTTCTAACATAATGCTCGAGCATTCAGCAGCGAAGACAATAGGATTAGTTTAAGTTAATATCTGTGTATAATGGCCAAGTGACTTTGTTTAAACGGATTTTTTATGGGAGTTTCAGAAGTTTGCCTCCGTCATTCCCGGAAACACGGGACATGAAACAGCAATGTATTTCGAATGAAAACTTCTTCACATCTACGTAAGACAACAGTTGGATTCTAACTTTTTATTTTTTGTTATATACCTACTGGGGCGCAAATTCTTGGTAGATGAATCGTTTATTGCGAAATGCGCCGTTAGCATCAGGTACGTACCTCGTGAGCCAAATACTAATTATTATCAAACTATTTGGAAGCACCCTAGGTTGCCATTAATACTGCTTGAAGGGGGTCCTGTTCATTTCGGCATAACTTGCAGACAAAGACTTGCGGCCAAAATGAAATACAAGGAATTTGTTGTGTACAAAGTTGCCGAGCACTTTGTTCCCCAATAGGGGGAATTGCGAATAAATACTGTTCTATGGATATTTGCCAGTTAGCAGCTCTCCCTATTGAAAGTGTAAAAACAGACTACATTTGAACTGTTCAAAACGACTGCAGGTGGAACAATCCGTTCCCGCATAGGGCAATTTATGAGCAAGAAAATGAACACTGTACAGCAAGTCGCCTGTTACCTCTTCTCCAATTTCCACTGGCCGATTTGTTTAATTTCCGGAACGAATGGCCAAAAACACTTTTGCACTTATTGCCTTCAAACAATGCAGTTTGCAGGCAATGAATACAATTAAATAGAAATGAAATTTCCTTCAAGCAGCCGGCAAAAGACCGACAGAAACACCATATTAAACTTCAATTAGGGCAAAAACGCGGGGACAAATTTCTAGTTGGGAACTTAAGGAAACAATCAGCTGCTGCAAAAACGGGCGACCGAATAGAGGGCAAAAACTAGCCCGACATCCCGGCTTTTGTTCTTCCGCAGTTTCTATTGGACAGGCGGCGATTCCACTGCTAGATAGGTATAATTCGAGCATCAATTCATCCAAATATTTTATTAGTACTGGTTGTTAATAGCGCCCCAATCTATAGGTCTGGTTAGTGCACATTCAACTATATCCTTCGTATATAAAATTTTTTGTTTCGTTTGCTTCGCAATTTGATTATATTTAATGTCTTGATATAATTTCTTTCCCTCATCGCGAGCTGCTGCTTTATTCGCGAACGGACGAAACACTTCACTTTTTGCGGCAAAAAGATCAAAACCTTTCTCTGGCACGATCCAATTTTTTCGGATTTACTTGACATTTGACAAATTACGCGCCTATTTAACTGGAACCCGAATAAACGTCCGCACAGCCGAAAACCAGCAAATTAAGAAGTTAACGGCCTTCGTACCGAACTAATGGGTTTGTTTTACTCTATTTCGCCACGCTAATTAACTACTAATAAGTAATTTATCCTTGTTTTTTAATAATTAAAGTCCGTGGCTTCAGTGCTAGATTTATTTTTATTACTGCGTGTTGGAGGGCGACTTTACTCCGGCCCGGAGAACTAGGAGAAGAATGAACATTTCGCGCAGAAAATAGTGTTTGAGTTGAATTTATTCACGATTTCCCGTTAACGAGCGATTTATGGTCCTAAAGGGAGAACCTCGTCTCCACTCAGCCGAATATTACATAAAATGATTGAAAAACGATCAATTGGGCGAGGTGGAACAGTAGGTAGGCCACCTCGATTACCTCACCTAAACAGTCGGAACTTTTAACCAGTACGCAGAAGCAAAGCACTGAGTTAAAAGTGACTTTTAACGCAATGAAATCGGTTTCTGAATGTTTCCTAGTTAGAATTTAGAGCGCCACGACTGTTAAAAGCTGATTTTTTGAGTGCAAACCGAAAGTAGACTGCTGGTACTTTGCCTATTAAAACTCATAATGTTGAAACCATCCTCAAACCGAACAAAAAAACTCGCGTTCCTCTTTTCCATTGTGCGCTCGGTGCCTTCTCGATGAATAAATGTTTCACTGTTTCTCTCGCCGAGATTGTAAAAACCTTAATAGAACTGGATTTTTACGACTCGCATGCAATGCGACAGATACATTGTTGGAAGGGTTTACTTTTTTCCTTTCGTGTTTTATGGAGATGAATAATTATTTGCCATTCATCACAAGCTGGAAATAATTGCTATCTCGATCTCTCAGCAGAAGGAGAGCGAGACAGTGCTATTGTGGTTTTGCGGTTTTATCAAGTAAAAATTACGGTTTCATAATACCTATGTTGAATGCCTTCTTAAATTTCTATATTGGAAAAATCCAAGCCATAAACGAAATCGTCTTGTTAAATAACCAGAAGCAAAAAGTTGGATTTGCTATAATAAGGCGATCCCGACAAAAAAAGCAAGATGGGTCCTGAAAGCAAAGCCTTGCTTCCGAGGAGATAAACGGATTATTTGTTTTTTTTTGTGCAGAAGTTTGACGACTATCGGTCGACGTGGACGGCAAGGAAAATAAACGATAATACACGTTGATGACCATTTGAAATTCGAAACTCGTTTCGGCCATTAGATTTTTTGAAGGAAAATGTAAAAAATGAAAGTGCTGTTTTAATTATATATCGATTCAGTGTTAAACTCATTCTAAAGTATTATTTAATAAAGGTTTTTATTTACTACTAACCTGCTTATGTTTAATTATTATGGCCATTTTTTAATTGGACATTTTTTAAAAACATATAATTTTTCATAATTTGGTAGTGTACCATCGCCATGTTTTTTCAATTTAATAATGCATTTCCGAAGAGGCAGATTTATCAAATTTTCACGGTTGAATTTTAGTCTTTCACGTTCGCTTTTCGAGGATTGTTGAGGGTTCAGGATAAAAACCCGTTTTTGATACGAAAATAATTTTTTTTTAATTTTTCATAATGTAATAGGGCTTGACCGGCATGTATTTTCAAATTAAAACCGTGGTTCCTAAAAGGCAAATTTATGCTATATTCTGGGTTGGATTTTAAAGTTTTGCGCTCGCTTTCTATGCTTGTTGAGGATTAAGGATTAAGGGCAGTTTTTAATGGGACATTGAAAAAAAATCTATTTCTTACAATTTAATAGGGTACGATTGTCATGTTTTTCAATTTAAAACCGCGGTTTCTAAGAGGCAATTTTATACAATTTTCTCGGTTGGATTTTACATTTTCATGTTCACTTTTCGAGGATTGTTCAGGGTTAAGGATAAAAACCCGTTTTTGATGGAAAATTTTAAAAATCTAAT